ATTAGGGATGCAGAGAGTATTGACGCTGACCACCGATAAAAGAGTTGGCCATTGAGCCAATGCAACATCTATGGGAAACTTTTGCCTCACTAACAGAAGACTTTGCGTGTCTAACTCTATACTGACCTTGCTTACCTTGGTAAGATGCTCCTCCTCCCCCAGCACCTCCCCCGTAGCCACCAGGATTGTAGGAGGCACCTCCTGAACCATAGTTGTTTGCACCTCCTCCTCCTCCACGTCCACTGCCATAATCTGCAATCAAAGAAAGCATATGAAGTCCCCTACATAAACTACTTTGAACAGACGATTGGCTGTCTCCACTTCCTATACATGAGATGCTCACCACCGTCTCTCTGTGCTTTTGAGAGTTTTAGGACCCTAAAGCATAGTAGCTTCAACCAAAAACTATTCTGCACCTGGATGCCAGAAACTGCAACGCATGAGAACACTTTTCCATTGCAGGTATTTCTTGATGAAAGGCTCGCATGGAGCCCAGAATTTCCATCGTAACATGATGGCTGCATGTTGCGCTATCAAACTGACTGATCTGAGCCATTTTTGTGGTGGCTGTAAAGCAAATGCGGCAGTCATTAAACAAACATGGCAGGCATTAAATTAACCCACTGTCTGCATGGGCGGATTTTTTGAACACTGATTTCCATCAGAAGGTAATAAATTGCTGTCATGTGACTGTGAGATGCTGCAAAATGTGATTATATGACTGCACAGCCCATGTGCAAATGATGTTATCTAGATTTGGTTGATCTTTATTCCAGCAATTTTGAGATTTAAGGGTATTTAGTATTTAATAAATTTATAGGCCGCCCAATCCCGAAGGACTCCGGGCGGCTTACAGAAAGAATGCGGCATGCGCAGTGAACCAGGCTAAGGAAGACTATCGCGTTGCCACATTTGTCAAGTTGTTTAAAATAAACTTTCAAAATATTATTCTGAATCACTTCATCTAGTTCTCAGCTCAATATCAGCTATTTCACAAGTTTAAATTGCTCTTTATCTGATCATTGCAATATTAGACAACTTCCAAAATTACAGGAAGTCCTCGACTTACAAGTTTGTTTAGTGACTTCTCAAAGTTACAACAGCATTAAAAATGACCTCACCATTTTTCAAACCTATGGCTGTTGCAGCAGCCCCATGGCCATGTGATCAAAACTCAAGTGTGCAACTGGCTCATGTTTATGGTGGTAAGAGTTCCCAGGGCCATGTGATCACCTTTTAAAACCTTCTGAGGGGCAAAGTCCAGGGGAAACCCAGATTCACTTAACAGCCATGTTGCTAACTTAACAAGTGCAGTGATTCACTCAACTAATGTGGCAGGAAAGGTAGTAAAATGGGGCTAAATTCACTTAACAAATGCCTCTCACAAAGGAACAAAAATTTTGGGCTCAGTTGTAGTTGTCAGTTGAGGACTACCTGTCAACCACTCATAACTACCATTCCCCCAAAAATAAGGCCTAGAGGGCGTGGCCAGCGCAGGAGGCAGCGAGCGCATGCAGGCCAACAGTGTCCGACAGCAGGCACAGCCTGCACAGCGCAAGTGATTCCCTGTCCAAACAGCAGGCAGAGGAAGGAGGGAAGCACATGATCTGGATGTGCCCCACGGAAAAGCCAAGTCCAGAGAGGAGGGTGGCGGGTTTCCCACGGCCCACCCAGATCGCATGCCCCCTCCCCCTCCCCCTGCTGTTTGGACAGGGAATCAACTCCCCTGCGCTGCACGGGCTGCCAATGGACCAGTGGGCGGCTGCTGCAGCCACCGGCAAATACCATCGGTCTGTGTGTGTGCTTGCCACCTCTTATGTATGCGCCAGGCCAGGGGCACCCAGCTGGGCTGATCACCCTGAAATCGTGCTTCCCCCAAAATAAGCCCTAGTTCTTATTTTGGAACCCCCAAAATATAAGACCGGGTCTTTTATTTTCGGGGAAACACGGTAGGGGTGCTTAAACCAGTAATTACTTTTTGAACTATTTCCATCTTTTCTGTTACGCCTTTAAGCATATTTATTTGCTATAAACCAGAACTAACTTATGCAATATCCATTTGAACATTTCTTAACTCCCCCCCCACCATCCACAAGAAACTCACTGAATTTACTTTCGTAATTGTAGTCTGCTCCTCCGCCGCTGCCGCCCGGAGAGTTGTAGGAATTTGAGTAAGCAGCGTAGTTGCCTTGGTTATAGCCCTTCTGCTTGCCTTGGGGGGGACCGTAATTGCCATATTGGTTTTGGTTGTATGATTGTTGCTGTTGGCCCTGATGGGACTGATACCCTGAGCCATAAGAAGGTTTCTGCTGTCCACCATGTTGTTGTTTTTTCCCAGCATGCTTAGGGGGAGCAGGAGCGCTGTAGTCACCACCTTGATAATAGGAACCATAGCCAGAAGCACCACCTCCTCCTCCTGTATTGCCCGAATGGCCACCATTACTGTAAAACTGGCCTAAAGAGAAGAGAGCAGGGTCAACAACAAAGAAGGCAACACTCTTGTTCAACATACCATATTCAGGAATATGACAGGGTGAAATTGTTCTGTACTGATCTCTTTCCAATTAAGGAACATTAATTAGGCTGTCTGCAAAATAAAACAAAAATGTCTTAATTCCTGTTGACAATTGTAAAGATGTTGTATTGTAAACTATGTGCACCATTAGGCAAGGCTTTTTTTTTTAAGGATTATTTTTATTATTGAACAACTACAGTCCTCTCGGTCACTCCAAAATGTTAATAAATCTCAAAGTTGAATATTTAAGATGTTTGGCTTTCTTAGGGGAATATCTATGTGTGCACAATTATTGGGCAACTATTAGTGTGCAGATTATGCAAGTAAATGAAAAATGAAAATTGGTTTCCTCTCATTTATTTTCATCTGCTAAAGTGAGAATAATAAACAACTCAAAAAGTGACAAACATCTCTGACATTTTAAAAAAAAGTAACCCCTCTTTTCAATAACAGTCCTAAGCCTTCCACTCATGGAGTCTATCAAGTTTCTTCAGCTGTTGACCAATCAGCTTTTTGTCCCGCAGCAGCCACAGCCCCCCCAGAGACTCTTCAGAGGGTTGCACTGTAAATCTCCCCTTTGAGAAGGGCCCACAAATTCTCTACAGGGTCACGTGAGGAAGGGGGCCATGTCATTCTTTCACCTTGAAGGTCTTTACTGGCTAACCACACCCAGTTGGAGCACTTCGATGCATGCGATGGGAGAATTGTCCTGCATACAAATCATTGTCTTCTTGAAAGATGCACACCTTCTTCCTTTACCACTGCTAGAAGAAAGTGTATTTTGAAAACTGGCAGTAAGTTTGGGAACTGATTTTGAGTCCATCTTCAACCCGAAAAGGTCCAACTATCTCATTTTTAGTAATACCAGCCCATACCAGGACCTCATCTCCACCTTGCTCGTGTCTGAGTCGAAGTGGAGCTCTGTGCCCAGATCACTCTCATCCTCAATCAGTCCATTAAAACCTCTGCAAAATCTGTCTTCAGGTATTTCTTGGCCCAGTCTTGTCATTTCAACTAATGTGATCTTATTCTGATTCTTCTCAAATCTTTGGCAGTTAATGTGTGTCTTTTGTTCTCAACATGTTTCTTGCGACCCCGTTTGCAACAAAACGTTTGATGGTTCTGTGATCATGCCCCCCCCCCCTGTATCTTAGCAATTTCAAGCTGCACCCCTCTGAAAGACTTTGTACAATTTTTGACTTTTCAGACTCAGTTAAATCTCTTTTGTGACCCATTTTGCCCGAGAAGAAGCTGCCTAATACTTATGGACGCCTTAATATAGGGTGTTGATCTCTTAGACCACACCCTCCCTCATTACAGAAATAAACATCACCTGATATCCTTATATCCAATAAGCATTCAAGTTTAGAGTTTGGAGGTGGAAAATATACACAAAAATGATATGGCCAAAATACTCACTTGCCTAATAATTATGCAATGTATCATTTATACATTACATTAATTAGTCCCACCATATTGAGCTGCATGTAATTCAAAATAATCTAATATAGCATTTTGCACAATGTCAGCCTTTCGTAAATAGCAATTTCCCATATCAGAATTAAAAATCATTCCAAATATTAAATAGTTACCGTATTTTTCAGAGTATAAGTTGCAACCGAGTATAAGACGCATCTTAGTTTTTTGGGAGGAAAATGAAGGGGGGGGGGGTTGATTCTGCCTACCAGGTATTCATCTAGCTAGCATCCTTAGTCTGGTCAGCTTCAGCACCTAAGTTTGCTGGTTTTGAGCACCTGTATGTACGCTTTTTATGGGGATAAAAAACAGCTTCTAAAGCACAGCTGAGAGAGAAGCAATGAGAAAAACAGGCAAAGCAGGCAGAAGATTGTTTCACTTTTTAGCGCCTCTGTGCTGAAAAAAAATCTTTGCAAAAAAGCTACATTTGGAGTATAAGACGCACCCAAATTTTCAGCCTCTTTTTTTGGGGGAAAAGTGCATCTTATACACCAAAAAAAAGGGATATGTTTCAGTTGGTGATAGAATGTAGAAAAGAGATGATGACAGCTGTCAACAAAATCAAAATACTTACAACAATGTGCACAGTATATATACTCTGCACAAAATGTTCCCCGCATTGTACAGGCAGAAACACATGCGTTCTTGGTGTGTGGCGAGAGCAGAGCAAAGTCAAAGCCACTAATGGGAAGTAATACACAAGGAAAAATATACAAAAGTAACGGAAAGGAATGAACGGAAAGATTGGCAGGTGGGCTTAGAGCACAAGCTATAGAGGAAAGGTCTTAGATGTTCCAGCCTTTCCCATAAGATCCCTCTAGATCAGGGTTGTCAAACGGGCAGCCTGCAAGTCAGATGCACAGGCCACACCCACCCCAACTCCAAGAATGGGAAAAACAATGTGAAATGATAGCAACGTGACAGTGAGTTCGACATCGATGCTCTAGATTGTGTCCTGATTAACCCCCCCCCCCAAATTAAAAATGTCCACTTCTGAGCCATTGCATGCTCATTTTGTTCATGGGGAAAATTTCATTTAATGCATAGTGCTATTCATTTTAAAGGATTTGGCTCTCTACTTAGAATTCAATTTGAAGTTTATGTCACAAGTCATGTATAAACAGATTTTTTTTTGTTCAAGGAACATAAAACACGACCTCAGTTCTGACCCATAATTAGCATACAAGTTACCAATTACTATTCTTTATAAAAACATAAAGCTACATGCTTAAAAAGTGGGAAAAGTTGTAAGTGAACTCACAGTTGTGGTTCAGCAAGAGGTCATGTACAAAGAAACATAAACCTGGTTACTTGGAGTAATTTTACTTCTTAATCCAAATTATTCCTAACACACATTAAGAACAACTGCTTCTTCTAGAATAACAGCATTTAAGTATGATTTTTTTTAACTTAGTTTTGCTTTTAAATTGATACCAAATGTCATTTTTATGTTTAGAGCCTTTTTTCAAATTCATATCTCCACTGTACTTCCACTTATTTAATTATTAATTTAGTACGTTTAACATTGTTAAACAATGACAACAATCAAACTGAGCACATTTAATATGACTACTAAAGCAAAGAGAACTAAACAATCCATTTATTAAAAACGTTAATAGCTACTTTATTCCCTGTGCCTTTCAATGTTCAGTAGTCTTCATGTCTTATGATAATACTACATTTATCTTCTAGGGACATGTACCGGAGAACAAGAAAAAAGAGCCACATCCTATAAGAACTGCAAAAAAACCACTGCAGTTAACCAAGCCACTGACATGTTAAAGATAATACAACCCAACAAGTCTCAGACTTTCATTAATGCAAGAAATCCATGGACGCAGAGATTAAAATCAGCACATGTAAGTCAAGAATATGCATGCTCAAAATTCAGGCTGTTGTAGTTTAAGAATTATTAAAAGGAATTTTGCCTCATTACAAGCATTTACCCACTTTTGGGGACTAAAATCTGTACAAAATCTCCTGAAAATTTAAGACAAAAAGGTAACATATTTTTGCAAGTTCTGTTAAAATAAAATGCTTTCCATAAAAAGCAAAACAAAGGCCTTTTGCTTGTAAGCAGAAGAGTTGGCTCTTATTGTGCACAATGCACAGGCATTCCTTGAACCTTTGCTCCCCAATCGTGGACATCGATATGATCAAAGGCAAGTCACAATTAAAACTGCCACTGTTTGTAGGCTAAGTTTCGGAAAGCTGCGGTGAAAAGCCACTGTTGAGAAACCAGTGAAGCACAGGGACACAGCACGGACACATTGGTTTTGGAGTTTGAGAAAATTGGAGTAAAAAGTTGTTTTATGTGCAATACTTTTAGATGATCTAGGAAGACCCAAAATCATGATAGCCGTAGCAGTCTGTGAAAAAGTCACCTACAAAAGGGGGAGACAGAGCAGAGGAAAAAAAATTAGAATTTTTGAAAATGGCAAAATGTGCCACATTTTAAAAAAAATATTTTTTATTTCTCTGCTCCCGTCATCCTCCCTCCCCATCAAAGGCTTTTCAAAGCAAAATTGTGTATTTTAGGGAGAAATGTTGTTTTTTAAAAAGTGGTGTATTGCTTTATTGCTTCACTTGGCTTAAAGCAGAGAAATTTAAAATCAACTTTCAAGAGATATCAGGCCATTTCATTTTGCAAAATGATATTTGAGAGTTTGTTATCCCAGAGTGTGGCCTCTTTCCCCCCATTAAACACTTACTATAGCCTGCTGTTGCAGAGTTCCCACCGTAGCCATAACTTCCATATCCGGCCCCTAGGAAAAACACCAACAACGTTAGACAACTGGAAGTGTGTTAAATGCATTAAGTTGTTATGCTTGCACACTATCTAGATATTTTGAAACACACAAAGTGGTTGCTAGAGAACCTAGTCTAGCCAATCTTTCCCAAACCCAGCAACATTTCACCCACTCCAAATGGAGTAGCCAAATTCCAAATGTTACAAATAGAATAAGCTCAAACTTAAGATATATTATAACATTTCAAAGGTAAATTAAGGCAACATAATATTCTTTCTAAATGTCATAGTGGTAAATAAAAGTAATGCAACTCACCAGCATTTATATAACCTCCATGATTGGCACCACCAAATCCTCCTCTGCCCCGGCCCCGGCCCCGGATATTTCCTCCTCTGCCCCGACCCCGCATGTTTGGAGGAGGAGGTACTTCAGCATGCATAGGTCCTGCCATGCCATAGCCTGGATTATGCTGCTGAAATCAGAAAAAATGTTTATTCCTGGCTCTGGCCACTTAAAGCACCCGAAAACTACATATTCAAGTGTGCTTTAAAATAATCTATCAAACTTTGAAGCCACAGTTTTTAAAGAAATGTGCAGGTTATTTCCAATATAATCATAAACTGTAGTGCACATGCCTACCTTTACAGGAAATTTGGGTCCCCCCCGTGCTGGCATAGGGGCCCTTTTCTTCTTCTGCTCCATTGGAAGGGGGGCATCTGGGAAAAGCTTTTCTAACGCAGCCAGTGCAGCATAAGCTTTTGCCACCTTTTTATTTGAACCGGCTCCTTGGAACTTCTGGCCATCAACCTCCACCTTCGAAAAGGGAAAGGATTTCAGGAACAGAACTACAACTTTGACAAAACATAACAGCAATTATGAATACAGTTCTGTGAACCAAGTCATCTCTCACCTCCATCACAAACCGTTTGTCATGACTGCCACCAGTTTCTGAAATCAGCTCATATTTTAAGCCACGCCGTTTCTCATTGAGTTCCATAACTGGATTTTTCCCATGCTTGGTCAGTATTGGTCCCTGCTGTTTCACATTCTAAGTAGAAACATCACAATGAACATGTGTCTTAATTAAATGTTAAAAAGCACTAATATTTCCTCCAATATTTGCAAGTTAAAGAAAGGTAAGTGCACACCAAACCAATTACTTACATTATTCTAGCCCTATATTTATGAAGTATTTAAATAAGCCAGCAAAGTCCTATTGGCTTTACAGCCAGTTTGTTAGAAATATCCTCAATGCATGGCAACATGTTCCGGACAGAAACTAACAGGCGCCGTGTCACTAAGCGCACTTATCACTAAGATTTGCACATGATAACATAGTTTAGCAATTATTTCCTTAAAGAGACCATAGAATACTAGACAGAAAGGCGTTTTCTAGAAAATATGATTCTATGGGGAACATCCTTAGAAATGTTAGTGATAGGGGAGCTAAGTGGAATGAAGCAAAGCATATAAAAAGATAATAGTTTTAAAATGTGTAAAAGGGAGTAGATACGTAAGACTTAGATATGAAGCACCCAAGAGCCAATAGTAAGTCAGGTTCACCTCTGTCTGCTCTGAAGGAGAAGCAGCGTTAGGAGTACAAATAATTTCCACTACAGGAGGAGCAGCAACTGCAACTGGTTTCTGATCAGTTTCTTCTGCCGATTCATCGCCTCTCTCTTTGCCTTCCACACCTGTAGGAAGTCCCATGTCTTGCAGAACCTAAAACAAGAAATTAACTATCATTGTTCTATTGCACAGCTAATCAACTTTAAACAATGGCCTATCTTGAAAGAACAGCCCACACTCTCTTGCAAACAGATGTAACCCATCTTTCATTTGTTGGCTGTTCAGCACTTGACTTTAGGAGCTGAAGGACCCCAGCCGTATTTAATTGATGTTGAAGGGAGCAAATACAAAAGTCTGATTTAATTTGTATTTAAATTCCACTGGGGTTCCCAACCCCTGGGGTGCGGGGCACAGTAGAGGACCATGGCCCATTCAGGACCAAGCTGCGGAAATGGCTGGCAAGTGCACATGTGCAGCTCCACTTGTGCAAGGGGAAGGCATGGCATGTGCCTGCCGCTCATGTAAATGGAGCGGCAGGCGCTTGTGCAGAGCCATCCCCTCCCCACTGCAAAACCAGAAATATTGGCGACCGCTGAATTAAATGCTTAGTATACAGATAGTCCCCGACTTATGACCACAACTGAGCCCAAAGTTTCAGGGAGGCGGCTTACAACTTTTATTACCAGAGTTGTTAGGTGAATCATTGGAGATGTTATTAAGTGAATTTGGCTTCCCCATTGACTTTGCTTGTCAAAGTTGCAAAAGGTGGCCACATGACCCCTGGCCACTGCAACCATCGTAAGTGTGAGTCAATAGCCAAGTGCCTGAGTTTTGATGGTGACCAAGAGGATGTTGCAACGCTCGTGTGGAAAATGTCATCAGTCACTTTTTTAGTGACGTAACTTCAAACAGTCACTAACTGAACGCAAGTCGAGGTCTACCGTATTCACTTCCAATACAATTAATTCAATTTAATAGCAAAAGTTACAGGGATTCTAAAAAGGCTCCTTTTACAGAATACACAACAGGGAAGACCCAAAGTGGAAGCAGTTTGTTAATTCAGCTAATGCCAAATCATAATAAACACAAACATATACTGGATACAGAGACGCACACACAAAAAACACGCTGTTAATTTTGGCTTCTTAGAAAATCCATTATGTTTTTGTGAACTTTGAGAGCCAGAATGATCAAGTGGCTAAGGTGCTGGTCTAGAACAAGGAGACTACGCTCCCCCCCCTTGACTGGGTGATACAGAGCAATCACTTTTTCCTAGTCCAAAGAAAACAGGGGAACAGGAAAAATGTAAAGAATGTATGCACCCAAGTTGCCAGAAATAAAGCTGGGATAAGAATCAAACAAATAAGCAGATAGCAGTTCATTTTCGGAGAATAAATTAAGCGATGTTCAAAAGCAAAGGCACCTATTACAATTACTCCTTACCTTGACTGCAACATGCAACTTGGCTGTTTTTTTGGAAGGTCCTGAAGCTTCGTAAGTAATGCCATCAACTTCCACAGACATAGTAAATATAGGAGCATGAACTGGACCTGTCTGAGATACTAGTTTATACTGAAGTCCAGGTTTTAGCTGATTCAGCTTCATGAGAGCATTCATGGCTTGTGGAGGATCTGACTTTTCCTCTGAAGAAAAGAAATTATTTTTAGATTATATCTTCAAATGAGTGCCTATGCATTATTACTGCCAACTGCTAAATGCAGCCTTTATTGCTATCAAGCAAAAGCATGAAGGCCGTCAATTTATGAGAACTTTTTACTATTCATCTAGTTGCATATAATGCTGTAACCAAAATAACCATCTTAGTGAGCACCTAAAAACTAAGCAAACCTACCTCTTGCCAACTCAATACCTTTTTTCTGAATCTTCTTTTTCTTTTTGCTTGGAGATTTCTCCTCTCCATCTTCTTCCATAGGACGTTTCAAAGGAGCAATGGCGTATGTTGTGCTAGGGGGGATCTGGACTGGAAAGATAAAAGTTCAAAATCTCAGTCCGCTGGCCAATAAAATCTCTGAGAAATGAAGTTCGCAAGTTCCAAAACATACCAGTGTAGTCAACTGGGTTTTCATTTTTGGGTTTCTTGGGCATCTTTGATGGCAAAGGGTCCATCCCCAAGACTTTGTGAAGCTGGCCAAAAGCAGCAAGCCTCAGAGCATGCTAGAAAGATATAATGGATGTTATTGATAAGTCTCTTTATTACGACATCTATTAAGACAACACCCAGTCCCAGTATTTCATAGAAACATCTTCTAAAAAGATCATAATGAAGTACTCTAGAACTTAAAGAGTTAAAAACCTGATACCTTATTTCTGGCAATCAATAAAAGCCTCCTATATTAGTGAAATAGGACCCTTTTCTAATAAAGTCAGCCTCATGGAAGTTACTAGCTACCAGTAAGAACTCATTGCGGTTTTGTAACATCTGTAATCAAAACTATACCTGAGCACTCTGTGTGATATCTTCCCTTTGTTGTCTGTCTAGATGCCCAATAGCATCAGTGGCTTCTTTTTCACAAGGATCATAAATACCAGAACCATCTGAAGGCAGGAAACAAGGAAGATATGCAGAGAATTATCCTAGGATCTCTATGTAAACCTGAATATTCCCTTAGTATCACCTAACACTCAATACTGTAAGTAGGGTTGATAATCTGATCTACTCTAAATTGCAGACCATTAAGCCCAACAAGGTGGCAAACTTGCTGATGTATAAAAATGTTCCAAAATGGAATCGGAAATAGCGGGTGGGTCCAAAGAACATCTACTCAATATATCATTACATCCTAAATACAGAATTTTAAATGAAAGAGATGACCAACTCTAACTTGTACTAGTTAAGAGAACAAATATCCATTGAAATTCTCAACAGCCAAGGACCATCTAACCTGGCATAACTATTCCGGATGCGAGGCATTCAAGAACTCTTCTCAGTGCCTCACCAGCTCCCATGGGCCGATTGGCTGTTCCAATTGATTTCTCACAAAGCAACTCTAGAGGCTGAAAAGAAATTTCCAAAACAATGAAAATAGCAGAACAATTATCAAAATCTTTAATACAAATACAGATATTTTTGATCATAGCTTTCTGTTTCCTATGATAGGCAGTTGCAGAATATATCGGCAGTCCTCATTCAGCAGTTGCCTTGTTTAGCTATGGTTTGCAGTTACAACAGTTATGAAAAACTAACTTTGCAATCTGCCCTTGCTCTTATTTGTTTCATGTTCGGTCTGTAAAGCAAAGGAAAGCTGAAGGTCATAAGCAGAGGTGTGATATTACTTAGCAATTACTCTGCATAATGACCAAGTTGCCAGTGCTAATTATGGTTGCTTAAAGTACTTCTAATTTAAAGTTAGGAAACGAACGCAGACTTTTCCCCTACTATTAAATGCTATTTTCTTCTCTGCCAATTTTGCAAGCTTTTGTCTGGGGACAAGAACCCGTGCCATTTAGAACCAAAAATTGACATTGACTTAATATATTCATTTTTCATTTCACATTAAGTAAAAAAGTTTCAGATTTTCCCACGATCAGGCTTAAATTAGAAAGGATTAGAAAGGGAGATTTGTTACTCAGGGGTTCTCCTGGATTCACAGTTCTTGCTGCTACATCTAGCTGTAACTAGAGGACCCTATGCCTAGCTTCAGCTGACATACCGACTTGGCTGTACCTTCGGCAAGGGTACTTGGCTACAGTACTCATGCCATGACCACCATCTGCCTTGACGATTGTGCTTCGAGGGTTGTCCTTAATGTCTACTTGAAAACTGCAACTGTTCAAAAATGTGGTAGTCTACGTGTTTGCTACAGCCAGTTTAGTGTGGTGGTTAAAGCACCAGAGTAGAAACTGGAGGACTTTGTGCCACCTTATGCCAGCTGAGTGGCCTTGGTCCAGTCACGTTTCCTCAACACCAGGAAGGCGGCAATGGCAAACCGCTTTTAAAAAATCTTGCCAAGAAAACTGCAGGGATTTAAAAGAATGTGTTTGCTGGTGCTCACATCAGAGCTCATTTAATAGTAATTGTATTGCACTTATACTGATTAAATTCTAGGTAAAACTTAAGGTGCTGATACTGATCCATGACTTATCATGTGGATATCTTCAGAACTGTCTGATTCAACCATTATTCGGAAGAGTTAAGAATAGCTAGGGAGAAACTTCCTATAATCCCATATTTCCAAAAGGCTTGGAAGGCTGAGGCTAAACAGGGCTGCTTTTCTATGGCAATGTTTTGTTTTTATTTATATACTTAGAAATACAGAAAAGCATCTGATTGCAGATAGAAACAAAGTAGAATAATTCTATCAGGATCTTCTCTTAAACCAGCCTTGCTATTTAAGTATTGTTAAGATGTTTACCGATTATAGATTAGGAAAGAAACAAAATGTTGTCAGATATGTAAAATGTATGTCAATAGTATTTCTATTTCCAAATAAGTTCTTTGAAAGAATATTCAGTTAGGGATGTATGAATGCAATATCTAATGTTTACATTCTATTCATAAGTACCAAAATATTTTAGTTTTCCCATGATTGCAAAGCTACTTTTAAAAAGCCTAAATTTTACCATAGTAAAAATTGAGACATTTATCAAATAGAATCCGAGAACTGCAAACTATTGCAGAATTTACTATTATGTCTTTGCCTATCACTGACAGCTATGAGAGTTTTATTCAATCTCTTTGACTGCCATTTTCCTTGTAACTGCAAGGAAATAGCAAAAACAGATTGAGAGTTAGTATTAAGTGGTGATCCATGAGTGCATGGTCTTTAAATCAAACTCATTTTGTTGCAAACAACATTAGGATTTAAATTATTACTTGTGAATATATTTGGCAGCAACAGACCAGCTTGTTTGGAGGTAAGCAATGTGTATGTGAATGAATAGAAGGGGGGAAAAGTTTAACAGCATCCACTGTCATTATGTACAGTATCAAATAGAATCACAGTAATATAATAGGCATTCAACACTTTTGTTAAGAAATAAAAAACATTCTACAATAGTTTATTATTGACTGTTTGCTTCTAAAAGCATAGGGCTTCAGGTTTAGAACTTATTAGAAGCTTAATAGACAGGTTCAATAATATTTGAGGCTGGTTAAGTTAAGCAACGTATTTCTGAACACTCAAGACAAAATCTAGAAAAAAATTCCTAACTTCCATCATCTTGTGCAGCTTGCACTGCACAAGAACTTGTTGAGAAAGATCACATTAGTCAATTCACATGAACTCTGGAAAGATGGGGACATTTTAAGATTGCCCAACTTTACAGGTGTTCTTTTATAATCAAAAAAAAAATTAGAAGTCTGCCATTAAATATGGGACACTTTTAACATTTGCAAACTGCAAAGGAAATGTAACTTATTAGATTACCCATCCTCTAAGCGGAGCCCAGGTAGGAACACGGGTACAGAGATCCCTCAGCACTCGGATGACTATGACACACGATTTCAAGCCATTTGCTCTGGCCTGGAACAAAATCAATAAGCAAGAAGGGGTCAGTAGTGAATGTGGAAATCCATGTGAGACAAAACATACATTTCTGTAGTGCTACTTTGTCAAGGGTAAACTATGTATACATTTCTATAGCTTTTTATGTCTATATTTTTTGTTACTGTGTTTGAAAACTTACTCTTAGCACAAAGCAGCAACTAGGAACTATGCCGTTTCTGAGAAACTAAATTCATCAAGTGCTTCTTTAGCAACTGTGCATTTAACAGATGCTAAGTTCTGCACACCTACAACTCCTCACATTAAAACATTTTAATTTAGGCAATTACAACTTACAAGTTTTCTACTTAAAGACAAATATAAGAACAAAATGCAAACCTGAAACCACTTGGCGTGTCGGAGTGACGCCAAGGCAGCAAGGCATTTCTGCCTGTCCAGAACGTCCGGGGAGTCGTTGACTGATAGCGTTTCTATTCGTGGGTGGAATAAGAAGACAAGGCACAGTTTGACCAAGGGGGTTCTGTCGGGTGGAGAGGGGAGGAGGCAGTTTCCTAAAGGGCAGCTGAGGCTCCCCGGACTCTCTGATCTAAGGCCCTGTACCTGAAAGTATAGCCTCAATAACATTATATATATATATTTTTTTTCATCCTTATGAAGCGACAACTAAGTAAGGAGAACAATGTGAGGCATTCACTCATTTCTATACAGGGAAAGAAACTTTACAGGAAAGGATAGTAGCTTTTATTGCAACCAGGCTGTAGAACTAGACTAACCAACAAAATGGAAGGTTAAAATTAGATTCCCACTCTAAATGCAGCCGTCCGTCGTACTTAACTAAGAGCTTTTCTACAAGGAACCCCCTCCGCCCACAAGGCTTGACTGCCCTGGCCCCAGCCCATGACAGAATGTGTCCTGTTGGTCAAAGGTCCAGCGTCCCTAAAATTGACAAACTAGAAGGCTTGGTAGATGTGTCAGATATCAAACCATAAACAATTAGGGAACAAATAAGAGGTCTGTGCTGCAGCAAAACTGTAGGGAAGAAGCCTGGGTTTCAGATAAGGCAAGTTCAATCATTGAAAAGAGATTGCAACGTTTTAGCATACCTCTCTTCTGGCTCTTGGAAAATCACTGTTCAAAATGCCAGTGAAAATGGCCAAAATTGTGTGAAAGCCACGCATGAGAACAGCAACTACATAATATGCTAGGCATATTGTAGTATCAAATACTAAATGCGAACTGCTTTCTGTGACTCAGCTGTAAATTGATTATAATTATGTATGTGAATTAGCCCCTATTGAAATAAAACAAAAAATATAGTAACTTTATTAAAAACTCTGCATTGCATTTTAAAATTCAATTGAATACTCCAAAATTAAGGAGGAAAAAACATAGAAAGACAATCATTTTGCTGCAACACAAACTGCTTTATGTAATACACTCAATTTCAAGAACATGCAAACGGTTTTTAAAAAAAAATGTCAATATTTTAAGAGATTTTGATTTGCACCTGTATCATCTATAATATTCACATTTAATTAAAAACAGTATTATGCACAAGTGAAATAACACACTTGTAGAAAGGCTAGAGCAAAAGACCTAAATGTTTAAAAAAGGCATTTCATTTGGAAATATCACTCAAATTCTAGAAGCCTGTGACAGGTGATCCATAATCAAGAAACTGTACAACATTGTAACACAAATTGACTTGCATGAAATTGCTCTGCCTAATCAAGAAACTGTACACCATCATAATTAGCAAAGTCAGTCTGGAAACTCATTCTGGGACTGCTAGCAATTTTCAGTCTTCCATACCTCCAGCTAACATTTTTTCCATTTCTTCTCTGACAACAGGGGATGTCAAGTGAATAGTAAGTGTCAGTGGTGGCTCTTTTGTATTCTTAATTGTAATTGCAGCATCACTGACAGATTGAATAATTTCATATTTGTCTTCAGTAATAGCCTGAAACACAAGAAAATACTTTATATTCTTAGCTTTTCGGCTCTTCCAAACATTCACTTTAAGGTTCAGGAACAAAAACAGTCCTTTCAGAATAACTAATATAATCAATAGTGATTTAGGATCAATTATACTTCACAGATGTCTACCTTCTATATCAATTATACTTCAGGGATGTCCACCTTTGATAGCTGTCAAATCTCCATAGTAGTATATACTCTTTGCAACTTTACCATCTCAGCAGGGGTGAAACGCTCTGAAGTCTGCTATCAGTTTTCATGTGTGCACATGCGCACCAGGCTTTTAAAAAACCTTTTAAAGCATTTTTTTTACTATTGCTTCTCCTGAACCGGTAGTTAAAAAATGCTTTAAGAAAGAAAAAAAAGTTCAAATGATTGTGGCATAGCTGATTGTCAGAACTTTTAAAATAACCTTTTAAAGCATTTTTTTACTACTGGTTCGGGTGAACCGGTCCAAACCGGTAGCATTTCACCCCTGCATCTTAGTAAGAAAAGCCCCCCCCCCCCCCGGGAGGGAGGGAGAAATCTGTTGGTTTTCAGGACAGGCCAATACTGAAAATCTGACCAAAAGCTTTTATCCTGGTTTTTAAGTATCTTCCAGATGTGAAATGAATACTGAAGAGGTGGTACTTGCTGATTTACATTTATATTCACAGTAGTACATCAACCATTATTGAGAACCGTGAAAGAATATTTATCAAGCAAAACTATTTTGCATTATGTATTGTTCTAAAACAATGTTAACAGTGTTATTTATACAGACACAGAAGCCCCTTATTGGGTCCAATAAGGTGACTTATGAGTTTTTCACACTTATGAGCACTGTAGCATCCACATGGTCACATGATCAAAATTCAGACGCTTGGTATATATTTATCATGATTGCAATGTCAATGGGTCACGTGACTCCCTCTTGCGAACTTCTGGCAAGTGAAGTCAAAGGGGAAGCCAATTTTACTTAACTGTGTTACTAATTTACCAACTGCAGTGATTCACTTAACTGACAAGAAAAGTGTAAACTGGGACAAAATTCACTTAACAAATGTTTTACTTTTGTGCTCAATTGTGGTCATAAGTTGAGGACTACCTATTTTTAAAAAGTAGGTGGTAAATTGTTCATTGCCTAGAAAGTTTAAATCATGAAGACATTACAACACTACTAGGAGTACTCTAAATAGCTGTAGGAGGTGTCACAACACTTTGAAGATCTTCTAATTTATGAACTACATGAACACTGCAAACTTGCTGGAATACCAAACTTCAAAATTATTCCAGTAACATGGAACCATCAGTTCATTATATACATATTAAAAATATTGGGATAGTACACATTAGCCTGTTTTTATACTCACAGCAAGCTGTGTGCTGAGATTATCGGCTACTTTTTCCAAAAGACCAATCGTAGGTTTCTCTTTACATAACAGAACCAGTTCCAGATCCAAGTCTCCCTTCAGCAGGAGGCCTTTTGCTACAAGACCAACGCGCATCACTCCACGAAGCGTCCTAGTCAAGTGCTCTGTAGTCTTCTGCTCACTATAAAACACACACGTATATATATATATACACATACACACACAGAGACACATATATGTTTGCCAAAATAAACCAACTCTTCATTTAAAGATTTTCACCCTCTTTTGGGGGTAAAAATACTCTGAAAAATACGGTAACCACCCACAATCCAGGAGGTAAGATTGTTTAATTGCTTTCAGAAAATTTCTCCTTGCTTCTAAGTTGGATCTCTCTTTGACAAGCTTCAATCCATTACTTGTCCTGCCCTTTGGTACCCTAGAATAAGCCAATCCCTTCGTGACAGCCCCTCAAGTACTGCAAGAGAGTTATCATGCCCCGCCCCCCATTCCTTCTGTTTGATAGGCCAGACATATAGAGCTCCATCAAGTGTTCATCATACAATTTAGCCTCCACATCTTTTTATCATCTTTGTCGCTCTTCTCTGCACACTTTCCAGGGTCTCAACGTCTTTTTTCTGATAGTGACCAGAACTCAACGCAATATTCTAAGTGTGGCCCCACCACTGTGCTGTAAAATGGTATTAGCACTTCATGGATGGGATCTTGAAACTATTCCTGTTCATGCAACCTAGGACTGTATTACCCTTTTTGACAGTTGCATCACACTGCTGGGTCATACTTAAGCGGTGGTCCATTAGGACATCTAGATCCAGAGAGATTGTTGAGCCAGGTACTACCTATTCTATAACTATGCATTTGGTTTTTCCTGCCCAAGTGTAGGATCTTACTTTTCTCATCACTGAACTGGATCTTGTTGGATAGAAAGCACAATGGCACATGGTACAAATATTTAAATCAACTGGAGAGAGAAATATGAAAAAAAAAAATGAATACCCACCTTCTGCCTTGCCAGACCTTGCACCAGCAGGCTTTTGGTCATTTTAGAGATTCCAACATTAGATCTCTCTGGAATAACAGAGAGGATTTCCTGCCTAACTAGTAAATTTTAGTTTGTATGTATAAATACATTTATTTTAGTTTTCCAGAAGGTTGGTGCTCTGTCCAGTTTCAACATTTACTAAGCAACTGTGTTGACATTATTAGCACAGGGGTGGTTATTTATTTTTTCCCCATCAAGATACACGCTACTTTCCCTTGTTATTTTGTACAGCTAAGAATGAATGACACTGTTGTTGTGTGATGTCAGGGATCAAAGGTGGGAAATCTTATTTATCTATCTGAATTGGGGCAAACACTTCTACAATGGCGGAGAGTTATCTTTGGATTTCAGTATTTTATTTTTCATTCCCCTAAAGATTGCAGCTGCCAATGGATGGGATAGTTCCTAAAATGCTTAGCTTGGTTTTTTTCTTGAAATGTTAAGAAGCATACTAGTCCACCAAGCAAAATATAATGGAGAATTATTACATCCACCTAATAAAAACCCATAAAAATATATTATTAAATATGGGTTCTTTCAAACAGGGGGAAGGGCAGTGCATATGCCGTCGACTGAATGCCCCCCACCCCATCTCTGGGGTGCATCTCTGTCTTGTTATGTAGAGTCAGAAATTACACTACTATTTCTCACTCAAGGTATTAGTGTGATTTCTGGGTATCAAAGCAAAAGGGATCGTGGTCAGTCCTAGAAACAGATCAGCAGATATATTCCACTTGTGAAAGTTCAATTCTGGTAGAAGGGACCGCCTCCCTTTTAACTCCCACCATTTACTCATCTACAACCTTTTAGCCACCCTGCACTCCCCTGCCAGATCTGGGTTCTATTGGCCATGGCCAGTAGGCCTTTGCCACACCTCCTTTCCATTACTGAAGAAGTGCACCCAGCCTGACTCCTCAACAAGGCAGCTGCTGGGCACCCCAAATCTTCTTCCCCAGGGCCATATTGCCAGGTCCACCATCGTGTCCTGCCATTCTGTTGTTGTGGGGAGGGGGGGGAGAGGCATTATTAGCTTGCTTTTTGCTTTTGCTATAACTGCTTGGGGATTGGAGGTGGGGAGAGAATCTTCAGAGACAGAGCGGACTCTCTCCCAGCTGGTTTCAGCCTCACTCCAAGGTTGTATTGTCCTGAGAGTGAACTGTTATCTCCAAGCACCTCAGAGGTTCTCAAAGCAACTTTTTGGCATCACATTGGCTGCCTGTGGTCGGGGGTGGATGGGTTTGGGGAACTGAAAATAATATGTTTGCTTTGCGCAGGTTTTTCAAATTTCACCTTATGGAATCACTTCTCTCTCGGTAAAAGTTCCTTCGATTCCACTTAATGGAGCCCTGAGGGACTGAGGCAGTTCCTTACACATACGTTGCTTTCTCGCAAAGCTTTAGAAGGCTTCAAAACCTTATGAAAAAGCTACATGCACTTTGAACAAGGCTACGCATGGATGCAGGAAGAACAGTCAGCAGCACAAAGGCCTGATGCACCTGATCAGCAGCAAAAGATGGTAATGGTCAGCTGGAGTTGGCAGGGCCAGCAGGCCAAACAACCCAGGATGCCCAAAAGGGCAGAAACGGGGGGACAGGCAGGTGAGGAGCTGAAGTGTTCCTGTGATCGTTAAGTGCAGACAATTCTGGATTTCTGGGGGAGATACAACAAACTGAAAAGGGTTCTATGAAAGTGGAACTAAAGGCCATGGCAATGACCAAGGAAGTCTACACATAAGGAAGACAGAAGATCGCCCACATGTGCTTTGGATGGCTATTCAGGAGGAGACCACAAGACAGGTTTTGCACATTTGAATGTTAGGACATGATGCAATCAACCATCCAGCTTACAACCCTAGCAGAGCGTTTTAAAGGACACTAAGTTTGCAAACCCCACTTTCCAATCTCTTTTTAGAAATTGCTTACTCACCATCTTAAAGCCATTAAAGCTCTTCAGATCAATAAAGCTACAGAAATTGAAGTATTTGAAAAGTCCACTGGTTGAGTGATAATAACTCTGAATTAAAAAATAGCTTACAAGATTAAGAATTTTAAAAATTTGAAATAAACATCTAAAACTTAAATAAGATTTTGATCCAAAAAAGTTATAAACAAAGGGTTCAGATGAATTTGGAATATTGACTTTTAAACTAAGATTTTGGAATTAACTATAAAAGTTAAGCTTTTCTTAGAAAACAGATTTATTATCTGGTTACTGCCAAGTCCTAAGATGATATCCGATAATTTTAGAAACTGGACTTTAGGGGATATTGACGTTTTGAAAGCAGGAAAAAAGAATACAAGTGTGGTCAGTTAATATTCGACTTATAAAATGGCACAAAATATGATGTAATATTTTTTAAATTAAGGAAGATATTTTAAAAATGGAACCAGAGTTTAGTAATAACACTATCAGTAATTATGTGTGCTTCAGAAGATGTTAATGAAGGAATGACTATCTGATAAGGTAAAGTACCAAAAGTGGAACTTTAAATGACAGGCCAAAATAACAATTTAGAAAAGGATGCTTTACTGGATATATAAATGACACTTGAAGTTTTCAAAAGTAAAAAAATACAAATAATAAACCAATAGGGAAATGTTTATTAGATTTTAGACCTGGAAAAATTTTAGATTTCTCAAAACAGCCTTGTTAAAACCTTGAAGAAATCTGTGAGATAAAGAAAAAGTGAAGAGAAATCCAGTTCTATGACAAATAACAGTCTTAATCTTTAATTCAATCAAAAATTAAGACTTAAAGTAAAAGGAATGAATACAAAGTTTTGTTTTATTTATTATGGTTGAAATGAGACTCCCCAAAGGTTGTTCTAGCAACCTTTTTTGGATTTTTTTTTGACACCAGTATTGAAAAAATGTTTTTAATGGATTTTTGTATATTATGGATTGTTTATAGATAAGGAATGGAATATGGATGTTTAATCCTATAGGGAGTGAAGTTATTACATCTGGTTATTTTGGATGGAAATTACTTCTGCTTGCACTTTTTATTCTTTTTTTGTTCTCTAAGTTTTGTTTGAATTAGTTCTTACTAACGTGTTTCTCTAAAAAGATGACCCACCTTGAGAAGAAGTCCTATCATGTTTTTGAGCGCATGTGATCAAACTAAGCCCCACCCACAAAATTAGCCCTAATTAAGGCCCTGCAGGGGGTGGGGCAAGGCACACAGATAAATAATATGCTAGGGTGGGGGGATGGGGATAGTGGAGCTGCCTACTTACCAGACCTCACACAACGACACCTGCCTCGTCTTTTTCTGTGGCCGCTTGCTGCCACTCACACGCATCTCCCTGGCCTCCGCTTCGCCTTCAGGTGCCTTCTAGCAGGCATCTCAAAGTGAAACGGAGGCCGGGGCAATGCGTGTGAGTGGCGGCAAGCGGCCTCAGGAGAAGTGGGCCAGCAGCAGGCTCCTCCTGGGCAGGGCTGTCGGTGCCACCGCCATGAGCCAATCATTAGAACCCTCCAAAAAGACCTAGCCGTTTTTTCAGGGGTCAAAAGAAAATAAGACCCAGCCTTCTTTTTGGAGAAGCATGGTATTGTGGTTAAAATGCTTAATAAAAATCATATTTTAAAAAAATTAAAGTTTGCTGCCAAACACCCAAATTTTGATCATATGATAAGGACTTGCAAGGACTGCAACTTCAAGGACAGGGTATAACTGCAATTCATTCAGTGCCATAACTTTGAATTGTCGCTAAACAAATTGTCATTAAGAAAGGACTCTCTGCAGTTACAACATGATAGAAAGATGTCTGGATTTATCTAAGCCATCAATTAAATTCATTCTCCCTATTCTATTTATTACATACAACAAGGAATTTGCCAATTTAAAAAATATAGCTTATACATTCAATTAATAACACATTAGCAATCAAAATAGGAATTTTATGTATTAGGTTGAGAGACTAAGTTTTTAACGGAGGATACATTTATTTACAAATCAAAATAATTTTAATAAATAAGCTGGTGTTATCCTCAATTTATATCCACACGCTCATTCTCCCTAAAAAGTGGTTTTGGGGGGTAAGCAACCTCTCTCATAGAAGCTGATAGATCCAAATGAACAATTGTTTTGAACTTTCTTTTCTCTCAACCTTCTTTCAACCTTTATGTAGTCATTTTTGCATCCATTCATGATAATCCCAGATGCATTCACACAAACACAATGACTCTGTCCATACTTTTTCCCAATTCATCAATTTCCATCCATTTGACTCCTACTTCTACAATTTCCTGTTAGTATTCCACCAGCATCCCGCACCAAGTATTTAGTTTTCATGCTTAGATCAGGGGCTATCCTTTACTCTTTCATGCAGAATAAGAGAAGACACCTTCCTCTCAGATAAGCAGGAAAAGCAAGAAGTAACACTCTGCAGGTGGGAGATAGAACAGGCACATAAAATAAGCTAGGAAAAAGTAAGAGAATATCTATTCACCCTGGACAAGTACAAATCACATGGACCAGATGGTTTGCATCCCAGAGTTCTGAAGGAGCTCCTGAAGCACAAGGAAACTACCAGAGGGCTGGAAAAGAGCTGATATAGTACCGGTACTAATCTACAAAAAGGGGGAAATAGATCCAGGAAATTATAGATCAATCACCTTGAAATCAATACCTGAGAAAATCCTGGAAAAGATAATCAAATGGAGGATATATGATCACCTAGAAATGAACAAGGTGCTTACTCGATTACTAGCCAACATGGTTTTTTTTTTTAAAAAAAAAAAACCAAATGCCTAAGAAATCTTATATTCTGGTAAAATGATTAAATTAGTGAACCTGCAAAACGTGTGGATGTAAATATACTTGGACTTCAGTAAGACATTAGTATTAAACTGACTATGGGCCAGTTTATGGATCCTACTTTTAGTATAAAG